TCAATGCTCAGGCCCACGGGAATGGGGATCAAACCTCAATCCCCAGGCACTCCAGCCCCCTTGAGCCATCTCCTGGCCAGAAGTGGTCTTTTTCTCTTAAATGTTGTTGTCTTGCTTAACCCCCAGGATGATGCAGGGTGCAAACCATTGCTGCAATGAGCTGGGCTGGAAGGCACTAGGACTTCACCAGCCCCGAGGCTTCCAGACTAAGGAATACATGCTGGGAAAAGAAATGACCTTTAGAGTTGACGTTAGTTAAGATGCCCTTTCAGAGCGGCTCTCCAGCACAGCCACGGCCCCAGAAGCACAAGGACTTAATGCAGAACCCGGCAGCTTGGAGCAGAAAAGTGAACAGACTATGCGTTGATCCAGGCCATCAAGTCTGCCGGAGGGGAAAGGGTGTTGCCCCATTCGCCCTCTCCTCTCTGGAAAGAAAGATGGCGGCCACATGGGAGCCTTGTGGACAGCAGGTATGAGCCGGGAGTGTGGGGGCGACTAAAACCTCATGGGAAGGGGGGCGTTTCGGTCCGCCCTTCATGCCCTACCGAGGCCACCAGTTGCCCCCAGGAGCGGCTCTCCAGCACGGCCATGACTCCAGAACACAGAAACCAATTTCTTAACTATCTGACTTTCAGTAGAAATACTTCCAGGGTCAATAGGTAAAATAGCAGAAATCCAAAACCAACATTTAATTCTTGAACCCAGCTGTAGAAAGCAAATCACTTCACAATGCTTTTTCAGCATGTCTGATTTGGGGGGGGGGGGGTAAACTCTAAATAATAGTGGTGAATCTTTTATTGAAACAATGAATCTAATCAAAGCAGATAGAGTGTTAACTAGAATTCATCTGCCTCACAGGGACGGGGAGGGGTGGGGGGTGGGGTTTTATTGGGGTTCTTCATGGTAAAAAAAAAGTATTGGTAAAGGGAAATGTGTTTGATATTTGCATAACTGAGACCTAAACCTGAAAGCTTTGTAACCTTTCCCACAGTGATTCAATAAATAAATAAATTAATTAAAAAAAAAAGATGCCCTTTCATGTACTTCCTTCCTGGTGTATAAACTAGTCTTTTTCCTTCTCTCTGCTGCTTGGGCTTTTTTAATTTTTCCATCCTTCTTTCCCTGGCAAGGCAGGCACTTGCTCCAAGAGTGTTGGAACAAATAAAATATTGAGGTGCCAGATTCGAATCTGAGCCCTGTCACTACTTGACCCAGACCTGTTACTTAGCTTTGCTAAGTCTCGGCTTCTACATTTTAAAATAGGAGTGACAAAACCTATGGAGAGATATAACAACATAAAACAACTGTCTTTTTTTTGGGGGGTCACACCCAGCAATGCTCAGCGGTTACTCCTGGTTTTGTATTCAGGAATTATTCCTGGTGGTGCTTGAGGAGGAATCATATGGGATGCTGGGGATAGAACCTCAGGTCGGCCGCATGCAAGGCACAACACCCTACCCCTGTACTATTGCTCCGCCCCACAACTGTCTTATTAGTATTGTAAATAATAGCTAACATTTATTAACTTTTTCTAGGTGTGTAGTTTTTTCTAAACAATATAAATAAAAATTACAATGTGATATATTGCACATAATGGACACATAATTCAAACATCCAAAAGATATCATTCTATATCCATTCAGATGGCTGGAGCAATAGCACAGCGGGTGGGCGTTTGCCTTGCACGAGGCCAACCCGGCCGACCCAGGTTGATTCCTCTGCCCTCTCGGAGAGCTCGGCAGGCTACTGAGACTATTTTGCCCACACAGCAAAGCCTGGCAAGCTACCCGTGACATATTCGAAATGCCAAAAACAGTAACAACAAGTCTCACGATGGAGACTGTTACTGGTGTCCGCTTGAGCAAATCAATGACCAACGGGAGGACAGTGCTACAGTGCTACCTATTCAGATGACTACTATTAAAAAAACAGTGATGAAGCCAGATAGAACAGTGGGTAAGGTGCTTGTTTTGCATACGGTCAACCCAGGTTCAATCCCTGGAACCCCATATGATACCCCAAGCACCACCAGAAGTGATTCTTGAGTGAAGAATCAAGAGTAACCCCTGAACACTACACAAACAAACAAAAAGAAGGTGAAGCCACCATTGAAACTGAAGGGTCTTGAGCAAATACTTGTACCCTAGTATACAACAGCTAAAAGGTAGAAAGGCTATGTCTAGGGATGGAATGAATGAATGGATGGATAAAAACAGGCATGGGGTACAATTAAATATAATCTAAAGTCTTTTTTTTTCCTTCAGTTTTTGGGCCACATCCAGTGGTGTTCAGGATTCACTTCTGGCTCTGCACTCAGGAATTATTCCTGGTGGGCTCAGGGAGCCATATGGGATGGCAGGGAGTGAGCACAGATGGGCCACGTGCAAGGCAAGTGCCCTACCTGGTGTACATTCACTCCGGCCCCTAGTCTTTAGTTTTAACAAGATGATGAGTTAACATAGCCTGCATTGGGGCATAACTTCAAAGACACCCAAAGTTCAAGAACTAGTTCTTCTAAGGATACATAATGTGTTATGTCCCTTATGGGAGGGATCTGAACAATAAAAGCCCACAGACACAGAAATTATAATAGTTGCCACTAGGGACAGGAGAGGGGGAAATGGAACAGTAGCATTCCAAAAGCACAGAATTTCAACTGGGAAGAAGGAATATACTCAATACCACTGAAATGAAGTCCTAAAAATGGTTACAATGATAGGGCTGAAGTAATGGTTATAATGATAAGGGGGCATGGCATTTGCCTTAAACACAGCAGACCCACGTTGAACTTCTGAGATCCCATATGGTCCCCTGAGCCCACCAGGAGTGATCCTTAAGCATGATGATATGGTCCAATCCCCTCCCCCCCAAATGGTTACAATGACAAAATTTACACTATGTTTTTCCACAATTAAAATGAGTTGAGGGATTGGAAATGTGGCTCAGTGGTGGAGCACCTGCCTTAAGTATATTCAGTCCTGGGCTCAACCCCTATTAAAAAAAATTTTTTTTTTAAAGTTGATGTAAAGAAACAGTGAGTAGAGATGATGTGGCCTGAATTAAGTGGGCGGGTGAACACCTAAGTCTGGTAAACACTGTCCCACTCCCTATTGATATTTGCATGAAAATCAGTACTTTGAATTTTTTGTTGTTTCGATGATTCCTGGGGGGGGAAAAAGAGCTCTTAAACACTCTGTGTTAACCAAGTAGGTAGAAAGAAATCGAGAAAACCTACTTTGTACAAGTGTTTCACTTTTCATCTCTTTACATCTAACCAGGTGTAGGCAGCAGCCCAGGTTCATAGACTGGGCCCCACTGCAAGGAAGCGGCCAGACCACCTGACACCCCAACATCATCTACACCCACTCTATGCTCTGAGCCATTTGGGGAGTTCCTCACTGCTTCCTATTTATTACATTTCACCCTGTAAAAAAATCCCACTCAGCTGGGTGTTTGAAGCTATGGATCATGATAGAAGCAAATCGTGTCTCTTACTGCACAGTACCCCTCCGCTAAAGTACCTCAAGCTCAGTTCCGTCCTTCCTCCCTCCATCCTTTTCCATTCTTCTTTTTTTGCTTCCTTCCGTCTTTTTTCTTTTGTTTTGGCTGTGGTCAGGAGTCACTCCTGGCAGTGCTTATGGACCCATATGTGGTGACGGAAATGGAACCTGGATCAGCCTACATGCAATCAAGCAAGCAAGCGCCTTACCCATTGTACTATCTCTCCAGCTCATTTCCTCACTTTCAAGTTTCCTCAACCTGTTTCCTCACTTTGAAGCCAGGTGTGGTTATCTTATTTCTTATGAAAGCAGGTGTAGTATTCCCTCTCCGTGGACAACACCAAAGTCCACAGAGGCAAACAACCCATCACTACAAAGCACCAGTCCCCAACCACTTAGCCAAAACCACAGTTCACATTTGGGTCAATACAGATCCCGTTATTACTGGGCACATGCACATATCAAAGATGTTTTTGAAGTGGCTTTACAATACAGTCTTAGCACTTGGTTTACAGCAAATACATTATGAATATTCCTTCTTCAATAGCGGTTAAAACAATTGCATAGTGTAGAGAAAACAGTTTGTCAGGCACTTTTCTTGGGAAAATTAGATGTCTTGAGAAAAAAAAAAGTGCAGGATGTCCTTGACTTATGCAGCTTTCTATAAATGATAGCAACTGGCTTTCAACTTAGCTTTTTAACTTGCTTCTGTGCCAGTATAATCAAACTACACAATCCATTTTTTTGTTTCTAATTTTGCTCTAATTTCCATCCTTGTCTCTACTTAGTCTCCTTGACACACGTGCTTCCACTAATCCAGTGCCCTGTCCCTCACCTCTATTATCTAAACCTCCTCTCCTACCCACTCCCCATAGAGTTCCTTTTCCTTTCCTTTTCAAGATACTGTCATGACTTTGATAGACTAAAGCAAAACTTTATCCTCTGTTCCACATTAGGATTACCCTTTAATGGGAAGGTAAAATTGTTAATAAGAAACTTTTGAATAAGAACATGTTATCAAGGGGCCAGAGTGATAGTACAGCGGGTAGGGCATTTGCCTTGCATGCGGCCGACCCAGGTTCAATTCCCAGCATTCCATATTGTCCCCTGAGCACTGGCAAGAGTGGTTCATGAGTGCAAAGCCAGGAGTAACCCCTGAGCATCGCTAGTTGTGACCACCCTCTCTGCCCCTCCCCCCGAAAAAAGAACATATTATCAATTGGCACATGTATAGGGCTTGAGTACCATTTTTAATTTATTTGGGGTTTCTCCCTAGTGGTGCTTGGAAGGCCCAAGGAGGGAACCTGGGGCCATGAACATGCTGGGCTTGCTCTCTAGCCCTTTGAGTTATCTCCTTCAGCCCAGGGCTAACTTAAAAATTAAGTTTTTAGGGGAGGAGAGAGCAGAGGAAAGTAGCTGGTATTTAAGGAAACTTCAGAGACTATAATGGAAATGTCTTTATCAGTTTGAGGTAATTAAAAAATATCAGACTTTATTGACCATAAAATTTGCCCGACAAAAATTGCACATAAATATGGTAGCTTTGTAGAACGAGGCAGAAGCCAGGGAGCAAGAGCACGGTGTGCACAGACGGTGCTAACCCAGGAGTCCCGGAGGCTGTGAGGTGGTCATCCATCACCTGGCCATCTGGAAGGGAGGGACACAAGTCATTAAAGAAAAACCCTCAGCAGTTTACCCTCCGGTGATCCCCCAAATCAATGAAGTGCCAGAAGGTTTATAGGCTCAACAGCACTGACCAGGGAAGGAATCAAGAATTCCCTGATAAAACCTTACAACCAGAGTTGCCAATAATCTAACTGGCTCTTTGAGGAGCTCAGCCTTTGCAGGATGGGGCAGGACTTGGTTTGACTCTGATGACGAGCAGATGGCAAATTTGTGGTCTCAAGTTCCAGGAAGAAAATAAGTTTCTCACCCACTTACTAAAGACCTATCGCAGAGCTGCGAGGCAGGATGCAAGGAGCCACACGCGCGCATGCGCTCTCTCTCTCTCTCTCTCTCTCTCTCTCTCTCTCTCTCTCTCTCTCTCTCTCGCTCTCGCTCTCTCTGGGGAGGGGCCCCATGTACTCCAACAAAGCATTGATTTGCTTTTATTTACTTCATGAACTTTAACATCCCCAACTTTTACCCCCCCACCTCTTCTGTTTCTCATTTTGTTTTGTTTAGGGGACACACCCTGCAAGGCTCAGGGCTTACTTATGGCTCTGCCTTCAGTAATCATTCCTGGCAGGACTTAAGGAACCATATGTAGTGTTGGGGACCTAACCTGGGGTGGCCACATGCAAGGCAAGAGCCCTGCCCACTGAAATATTACTCTGGTTCAAACATCTCCAACTTCTAACATTCACAGCATCAAAACTAGGAGAGGCCTCTGAACTTGGGCAGTCCTAGATAATGGCTCAGAAGGCTGGCCTGTGATCCTCTCTAGGTGCCTGGTGCCTGCCCTTCTAGTCTTTGTTCTAAAATCAATGAAAATCAGTAAGGCCAAAGGGGCAGGGTGGGAAGAGTCTTCCATGGTCTTTAAAGGTGTGTGTGTGTGTGTGTGTGTGTGTGTGTGTGTGTGTGTGTGTGTGTGTTGGGAGGTTGTGAAGCCTCAGGGGGGAAGAAATGCATTCACTGGAGTTGGGAATCTCTGACCCTGTCTTAGGGGTGCACACCAACTGAGTTATTCCTCATGGAAACTCTCTGAGTCTTACAGCCCAGAGGAAAGGGAATAAAACAGCATGACTGTACTACTTTACTTAACAAGTCTTTTCTTGTGTATTTTTCTCAGAATCAGTTCACATTCTGTAATGTGTCAACAGAACTGAGGGAGAATCCAATAAACACAGGATGGCAGGGTTACTGTCCCATCTAGGGTCCTGGGGTGTCTAGATGCAGAACTTGGGCTGCCAGGCTCTCCCCAAGTCATAGAGAGACCCCAATAACTCAGCACCAGATGCAACTAGCCCAGAATGGCAAAAAGGGCTCTGTCCACTCACCACAACCAGGTAGAAATGCCTGTGAAAAGCAGCGAAGCTGGCCATGCCAGCACTTACACATGGAACACTTCCTGGGCAGCCAGGAGCCATGGCGCAGGGAACCGCAGTTCCTGTGAATGAACAGAGATGGTGAGACATGCATACCTTAGATGCTTCCCACCTGCAGCCTCCTTCCTACTCCACATACCCTTTAAAAGCTTACTATGGAACTGGAGCGATAGTACAGTGGGTAAGGGTTTGCCTTGCACACATCTGATCCAGGTTCAATCCCCAGCACCCCATCTGGTCCTACAACCCCACTGAGAGTGATTCCCTGAGCACAGTGCCAAAAGCCCTGAGCACCACTGGGTGTGTCCCCTAACCCTCCCGCCCCCAAACAAAACAAAACAAACAAAAAGCTTACTCTTTGCGCACATCATGCTCACAGTTGCGTCCATAGAAGGAGGGGGGGCAGGCACAGAACGACCCCAGCATGCAGGTTCCCCCATTCAAACAGCAGGTTCTGTTGAGCTCCTTACCTGAAATGTGCAAAGAGGTGGCTGAGTGGGTGGGGGTACTGCACAGGTGAGTGTCCCTAGAAAAGGCGGGCACAGTGCTCCCCAGAGGGTTCATGACACACTGACTGCACAAACCAACTTGGCTGACCGAGTGCTTCTTTGGCCACCCATGTCCCCTACTGGAGAAACCCTTTTCATGCATAGGACAGTGGTGGGTCCCCAGGGTGAAGTGAAATCACATAGAGGAGTGTGTTTCCCAGAGGTGAAGAACACAGTCTTGGCCGAAGCAATAGGACAGCTGGTAGGATGCTTGTCTTGAACACTGGGGTTTTATTCCTATCACCCCATATAGTCCCCTGAGTCCCACCAGGAGTGATCCTAAGTGCAGAAGCAGGAGTAAGACCTGGGTAATGACAGGGTGTGTCCTAAAACAAACAAAAAATGAAACAAACAAACAAAAAAAACACCCTCTAGACCTGAGGACATGATCAGTGCACACCTTGTATGAAGTTCCATGTTTGGTCCTGGCACCATAAAAAAGAAGGGTGAGAACACACTGCCTATTTCATCTCCATGAGGAGACCACTCCGGCCTTTGCTTGACACGGGAACCAGAACCACACTCTTCAGAGAAAGTGTCAAGGAGATTCTCAGGAGCCCCATGCTGGCTCAGTACAGGGAGAGTACAGGGTTAAGGATAAGGGAAGTCGCTCTTACTGTCCAGGATTCCCGGGGAAGACACAAACTGCAAAGACTGAAGGCGAACTGCAGGCTCCTCGCGGGGTCCAATGTTGTCACTTCTGCTGGCCAGACCTGTATGAAGGACAAGGTCACCACTATGAAACCAACCCCCTTGGAGTTGGTGTTTCTGGCTCCATGTCAGGGGTCAAAAGAACAAAAAGTCTCACCAGCAACTAATTCCAATGCTCTGGAAATGACCATGATCCAAATCACACTAGGAAAAGGAAATCAAACACCAGTTAGCAGAGCAAAACAAATAAAGTCTCTTGAGTTCATGTGGGGTAAGAGCACAGACTACTAAGGAGACGTTGTAGAACACGGCCTTTTTTTTCTCTTGGCGTTCTTTTAAAATGATTGGCTAATTCATACATACAAAATGAAGAACAGTTGTGAGGGAAAAAAAGTCTAATATCCACCTGTTTTCAATATATTTTATTACTTCTTAGGGTCTGTCCTCAATTCACGAAGTTTTAAGTTGGCATAACATTTGTATCTTCTCTTTCATGTACAAGCTCCCCTGAATATCGTTTTCAGATAACTATTTAAAAATGGCTGCTTGACAGTCCAGGCAATTGATGAATCACATTTTACAAACAATTTCATCTGGCTCTTGTTGTTTTAAAAAGATTTGTAGATTAGGTCTAGAATGATAGTACAGGGGTTTGCCTTGCATGTGAGGACCTGGTTTAATCCTGGCACCCAGATGGAGCACAGAGCTCTCTCACCCCTACCCCCGCTGAGTGTCACTCCAAATCCACCCACCCCACAATTATTTAGAATTAAAAAAAATTCCAATTACTCTTAGTAGATTTGCAAATATTGACTACACCTTCTTAGAAGCAGGTCTTTCATTTGGTTGAAATATTGACCTTAATAGCCATTTCAGTGTGCAGTCTTAACCTCATTAAAATGTTACAAGTAAAAACAATGACATAGTTGCTTCTAACCCTTCAGATCTTTAAGGAAAAAACAGCCAACCTGCTGGCGGTTCTCCTAAAGCTCAAGTCAAACAAAATTAAGTAGGTGTAGAACATCATTTCCTAAACCCACCAAGTTCACAGTCAGGATTCCCCCCCTACCTGGAAGAGAAGCGCTCCATCTTCCGGCAGTCTTTAGCACCTAACAATTTGGGGGTGTGGGAGCGGGGGAAGTTAGCAGGACTTCAATTCACAGCCATTGCCAAAACACCCAGAGGCGAACATCAATATTTCTTGACCTGAGATCTGGAACTTGATGGGAAAAGGATCCCCGCGGGGGCCAGGATGTGTGGGGAAAATCCTCAGAGAAAGCTTTGACCCTAAGTCAAAGACTCAGCTTTCCAGGGACCCTCCGCCGCCTGCGACGACCCCCTGGAAAGGAGCGGGCGGACCCCGCGGTGGGAGGGGAGGCGGGGCACCCACCGGTTCAAAGCCAAACCCCTGGAGGGTGGAGGCGTGAGGCTGGGGGACACAAAGAGGGAGAATGGGCTGGGCGGAGTCCGGCGAAACTGGATAACAGGCCCTAATGTCTCTATTGTTAGCTGCGGGTCAAAACATCAGATTTGGTAGGGGTGGGGGGTGGGGGCTGGAGGGGGAGTCAATCACTCTAGCGCGCGATTCCAGGTAACAGGAGACCCGGAGAGTAATTTGCATCACCAGGAAACACCCAAGGCCGTGTTTGGGTCTCTCAAAGCATTTCAAGCTTCCCTGTCCCCGCTCCGGGAAGGGGACTACATTTTATTTCTTAAGCATTTTTTTTTTCCCCTAAAGAAGAGTGCAGGTGGCCGACCTCGAGTACAGTGGGTAAGGCGCTTGCCCTGCACGCAGCCTGCCCGGGTTCGACCCCCAGCATCCCTACTGGTTCCCCGAGTTCCGCCAGGAGTGATTCCTGAGTGCTGAGCCAGGAGGAACCCCTGAGCATCGCCGGGTGTGGCCCCCAAATTAAAACTAATAAATAAAAGAGGCGGTGGTGCTGAGGTCCCGGGGATGCTCGGTGGTGGGGTAAGGGTACGCTGCCCAGGGTGGGAAGTAAGGCGAGGCCTGGCCGTGGAGGTGGGAGCGCCAGAGTGCGCGGTTCCTGACCTGGCGTGGGTACGCGGGAAGTCGGGCGCACCCGCGTGGCAAGGCGGGGGGGGGGGGGCACAGGGCCACGGCCGGGTGTGCCGCGCTGCAGCCTGGCCTCCAGGCCCCACCTGGACTCAGGCTCACCCCCAACCCCCACTACCCGCTGCAGCCACTGGCATGCCTGGAGAGTAAAAGCGTTCCCTGGTTTGGCGGCTCCTGGAGCCTCCTCTAGGGATGCGCGTGCGCTCGGAACCGCGGTGCCCGGGCGGATTTCATCGGGGCCTTGGTGTGTCCAAGTCCCTCATAAAGGTCGTTTAACGCTTTGCTTCTAAAGAGAAAGCCAGATGGTTGCCTCCTGCCGGCAGGCCCGCATGCACGGAGCTTTGTGAGTCCCTTCTGGTTCCCTTCCCCCATCCCTGTGGGCCGGATTTACCCAGGGCAGAAGGAACCCGCAGAGTTCAAGGCCATTTCCGCTTCAGCTTCTGCCTGTGGGAATGTTCTGGCCCCAGGTGTCGGGAAACGCCATCGTTTGCTTCTACACCTGCAGCGGAGGAAGAATTAATTTTTAAAATAATAATAATAAAAAGAAGGATGGGGTAAGTTTCCGGGAGACCTATGCTGGATGCAGCTCATTTATTTATAATTTAGCAGCATTTCCAAGTGACTCTGGGAGCTGAAGCTTGGCACCTTGTGTGGCCCAGAGCGTGTGAATATGCGTCAGTGGGCTCACTGAGCTTCAGAGCACCAGGGACACTGGCCGGAAGCTCTGGGACCGGGCTTCGGGGAAGATCAGAGCATAAGAGAGCTAATCATACCTTTGCCAACTGACTGAGGGGGGCCCGCCACCTCCAACCAAGAAGCATCAAAGCAAAGTGCACCACTTGAACTTTTTGCAAGTCCCAGGCCTGCTGACCTAAGGGGTGCTGGCATCTCACTTTCTGGGGGAAGCAATTAGTGGCATGGCATGGCGAATTTAGGGGTCTTTTCCTTGGGGGCTAAGTAGGTCTGCAGCACTATACCTTTGCACTGGTACTGAAGGGGTGAAGGGGGCTGTGGCGAAATTTTTAGAACCTGAGCTGGAACAGGTGGTCACATCCCCATCTTCAGAGAGGGAGAAATCAAAGTAGAGACCCTGAGTCAGGTGGCAATGTTAGTGTATGTGTGTGTGTGTATGTGTGTGTGTGTGTTTCCATCCCAACCCTAGGATAGACTTTTCTGCCACATAAGCTTCCTTTTAATCCAAGGAGGGGCATGTATGAAAACATTTGCGCTGTCCATGAACTCAGAGGGGAGTAGCCCTGGATGCAGGGCGAATGGTCTGGGCCAGGTTTGGGGATCAGAAGGGGAGGGAGGGGCTTCAGCACTGAGAGACCATGTCAGGGGTCGGAACTGGCCCTACAGAGGCAGTGAGCTCTCCAAGAGAGTGAGATAGGGTGGGAGGGAAACAGGCAGGGTGAGATTAGAAAGAGAATGGCCCCAAACTCAAGAAATTCCTGTCACGGAATGTCAGGAGAATGGGCCCAGGATATGCAGAAGATAATCCTTTCAAACATCCTGCTCTCTCCCACCCCCTTTGTTTTACGCATCTGTGTGCCTTAAATCCACTAAAAAGGGGCCCAGAGCGATAGTACAGCAGGTAGGGCGATTATCCTTTCAGGTAGTCAATCTGAGTTCGAGAGTTAGTATCCCATCTGGTTCTCTGAACACCACCAGCAATTCCTGAGAGTGCAGAGCCAGGAGTAACCCCTGAGCAACACCGAGTATCACCCAAAAAGAAAAGAAAAAAAAAACACCCAAAAAAGCCACCTTATAAAGTGCAGAAAATAGGAAAAGAAAAGGTTTTTCCCCTTTTTCAGGCCAGTTAAAGAACTGGCCATCCTGCCCTGACGCTCTGCTCTCCTCCACTCTGCTCTGCTCCCCTCTTGTCCCCCTTCCCTCCCCTCCCCTCCCCTCCTTCTCTCTCCCCTCCCCTCCCCCTCTCCTCCCTCCTCTCCTCTCTCCTTCCTCTCCCTTTCCCTCTCCTCCCCTCCCTTCCTCCCTCCCTCCCTCCCTTCCTTCCTTCCTTCCTCCCATCCTTCCTTCCATAAAACGATCCCACCTCCAATCTCAACCACCCTGTAACCTCATCCCTCCATGGATGATCCCAGGTTCCCACACCCAGACTGACTCCCTGACAAATACGTTTTTCAATTTGCGTGCTTGCAAAAGTACTGGGGTCTGGAGGTTTAGATACAGGTACCTCGCCCCTACGCCACAGATGAGTCCGAGGCCCCTGTCCCTTGCCCAGTCTTCTGTTTCAGTCCTGAGAGTGCTAGAACTCCTTGAGTTGTCTGTCATGACTCAGCGGAGAAAAGCCAGTCACCCTGACTTGTCATCGTGGTGACTATCAAGCCCTTCTGCCTCTCTGGTGGGGGGATGGAGCTCTGTCCCTGCAGAAGCGGCGGAGGCAGCCCAACCCTGGCCACCAAATGCTGTGTCTCAGAGACCCAGGGAGGCCAGGCTGGGGGTGGGGGCTACAGGAACTGCTATGGAATGGGACTCCCAAAGGAACACTAAGAGAAAGCTGAACATCAGAACCAAATGCTCTTGGTCTTGGGACGCTTCCAGTATTGCCTGCTGGTTGTGCTGCGGGGGATTAAGAAGTGGGATCACAAGGCCAGAGAAATAGTAGAGCGGGTCGGGAGCTTGTGACATGGGGAATGAATTCCCCGGTACCACAATGCCCCCCTCAGCCCCGCCAGGAGTGGTCACATATCCTGGCACAGAGCCAGGAGTAAATCCTGAACACCGCAAGGCTGGCCTCCAAAAACAAACAAAAAGCAGGGCCAAAAGGACAAACTAAGTGTTTACTGTCAATAAAGAAACATTTGACCTGAAAACTTAAAAATTGACTATGAGAAATCAATTTTTAGATTTCGAATAGTCCAAATTAAGTGTATGCATATCTCACCAACACAAGACATCAGATTCAGAGAGAGAAAGAGGTTAGTGTCAACTAGCCAGGTCCACTTAATTCCATGGATAGAGAACACAGAGTTAAAATCTGACTCAAGAGTTAAAGAACAGAACAGCCACAGTCACCGCATAGAGGTTAAGGTCAAAAACCACCTTTGTCACGGGCACCTAGGGACACCTTGAGTCTTACCTCGGTCATTGTTCTTGGAAGTTGCAGCGGCCCAAAGACAGCCGCGGGCCAGCTCAGGGACAACCTCCAACTCTGGAGTGTGGGGACCTCTAGCCCAGCCGGCTCCGGCAAACAAACAGCTTCTGATAAAAGCTAATGACTCGCTGTCTGCAGAGGCGCCCTAGGCCGGCTCATTAACAAGTTAATGGCTTTCTCTTCTCCCTGGCGAACTTTACAAATAGCAACTGGAAGTCTGTTTCGCATTTGCCACAGGCCTTTGTGTGCGGTTCAGGATTGATTCCTGCTCTCAAAAATCTACAGGTCCAGGGGCTGGAGAGGTGGTACAGGAGATAGGATGCTTGCCTTACACGCGGCCAGTCTGGGTTTGATCCTGAGCCCTGCTAGGAGTGACCCCTGAGTGCAGAACCCGGAGTAAGCCCTGAGCTCTGCTGGTTAAAGCTTCCATACCAACTCCACCCTCCTCGCCCCCCCCCCCCCCCCAACAACAACAACAACTAAAACCCCTGCAGGCCCAGTGTGGAAAAAAACGTGCCATCTGAGTCATTTTCAAGCTTTATCTAAGAAGGCATTGTATAAAAAACACGCAGAGGATTTCATTTATATGTGTGTTTGGGAGAGAGCTAGTATAAATTCCTAGGTAGCCATATCATCAACTATGTTACTAATGATCATGACATGCTTCTGCATGGTGGGGAGGCGGAGAGACAAATTTGGAGGCCACATTTAGTAGTGCTCAGGATTTAATCCTGACTGTGCTCAGGAGTGGCCCTTGGCAGAGCTCAGGAGACCATACATGGTGCTGAGGCAGTGTCTCTGGGAATCACATGGGATGCTGGGGATCAAACCCAGGTAGACTGTGTGCAAGACAAACGCCCTACCCGGTGCACTATAGTTCCAGCCCTATTTTTTTTTTTTAAAAGAGTT